GATACTGAGACAGAGATACTGAGACAGAGATACTGAGACAGAGATACTGAGACAGAGATACTGAGACCGAGAGGCAGAGAAAAAGAGGCAGATGAAAGAGAGACAGAGACAGATAGAGAGACAGAGAGAGGCAAAGAGACAGAGACTGGGAGTCAAAGACGGAGAGACAAACAGAGACAGAGACTGGGAGTCAGGGACGGAGAGACAAACAGAGGCAGAGAGAGATACAGAGACAGAGATAGATATAGAGACATTGACAGAGACAGACAGAGAGACTGAGACAAAGAGATAGAGACAGACACAAACAGAGTCACCAAAGAGAAACAAGGATAGAGAGACGCTGATAGAGAGAGACAGAGATTCAAAGAAACAGGGACAGGGACAGAGAGAGACTGACAGTGAGGTAGACGGAGAGAGAGACGGAGGACACAGAGAGACGGAGATGGTAGGAGAAAGAGGGAGGGGAAGGGAAATTGAGAGCAGGACAACGTTTGTTGGGATATTCGCTAGTGTAAATGTACCTAGTGTTAAAGCGCATAAGAGTGTAAAAATTCATCTACAAGATGCATTACCTGTTAACTCTCAATACAAAACCAAATTTCCATACATTTTTGAAAATTAATAATTTTATTTCTTTAAAAAATGTCACGTTAAAGGAATTTAATTTTTCATCGTCATTTTTCTTTAATTTTCATTAGTGTTCATTACCAAAAAGTTTAAAGTATAGCAAAACTTTCCTTCTTTAAACCTTACGTTCATTATGATGGTCTTCATGACTACGTGTAATAATTAATGAGCTATTAATTACTATTAATAATTATTGAGCGTAACCCTTTTATTTTTTGGGGTGGGGAGAAGTCACGAACATACGTCAGCAAACATCAACAGGTGCGTTTACCTCCAAATCCTGCTGCCGCAGGTAATCGGTTTTAGCTTAGATTTACAGGCATGGAGCTCAGGACTATTTGCATACATTATGCAGTGTCATAAAATCTTATGCCCAAAGGAAAAAAATCCATATAATCAACGTATTGTGCCATTAGTGACATTTTACCTCTTCCATATTTTAATGGTTGAGATCGTGCTGGTTTCATAATTTCTTTCTTTTTTCTCTCCTCCCCTATTCATTCATATTATTTGCATGTCACATGTTTGCACAGCGACATATCGAAACCAAACAGTGGGCATAGCCCAATAAGTATTTATCAGTTCGCGAAACGTGTTTGGAAGAATATTCATATAAAGAACTTGAGTTGGTATCTGTTTAGCAACGTGTTTACTTAACTCATAAAGTAGCTTTCAATGATTTGGTTATCATCATGGAAAAAGTCGAGAGTTCGACTGCGTCAAACGTAGTTATCCGGTCGAATTCTTGACTTACGACTAACAGATCTGATGGTGACGGCTAGATAATGGAAAGCTGCTTATCCAGTAAATCAGGGGTGTCCAACTTGCCAGATCTCAAGGGCCACAACTAAAAACCTTCAATATTGCCGCGGGCCATATTTGAAAAACTCGGGCGATCTATCCTTTACTTCCCGGTATATTTGACCGCGGTGGTTATTTCGGCTACTCTGAAATTGGGTGGGGAGAATTGAACCATGCGTGATATCAGGCCGTACCATGCGCAACGCAGTGAAACCCATTCGGATGATTTTTAGTTTCTGAGTATTCTAGGAAAACCTCCTTAAATTTAAACTTTACTTATTTTTACGTTAAGGGGAGGTTGACTCCGGCAGGATACACGCGCTAGGCGCACAATGTTCTCGGCCGACATGGGAGCAAGGGACTTTCACTTTTGACTAATAACTAAGTTGCGGATTTTTGTTTATTTGCCTACTGTTTTCTGCCAATGGAAAACGCAATATTTTAAGTTATTTATTCATTTTGAGGCATTATAAGTATTATGAGCAAATTTTATATTACCTAAAAATGCCGATTTCACTAATAAGTGCCTAAATGTTGCATATTTTTGTATTTTATTAATCAAAATGCACTTATTGTTAATCGAAAATGTAAAAAATTGAACGTTTTTTTTCTTGTTTTTATCCTGCAGATTACACAGAAATCGTACATCTATCAATAAATCCGCTTTACTGTCACCACAGCGGGTATTTCGGGTATTTCGCGGGTATTTCGTACGTGCAAAATTACTGGTGGTAGGTTATGGTTACTGGTGGTCAGGTTATTGTTTAACTTGAATTTTTAAACTCAAAAACTACTAAAAATTTTGTTAAAAAAATTTCTTCTCAAATGGCCAGTTCCATTTTTCACGAACATCGTATTTTCGAAAATTGCAAAAAGTTAATATTGTAAAAGTACAATATTGAATACAGTTAGTTTTGTCCCAAATGAAATATGTTCTACAAAATAAGATCTTTAAAAAAGTCCAGGTATATTGTTTTTAAAAAGCGAGTGTTTTGTGTGGAATTTCCGCTTAAATTTCACGCAAAGTGTAAAAAAATTCTGAAAGAACATTACAAATGTTGGCTTCAGATTTTTTCCATGGACACAAGGGACACTTAAAAGAATATTGCAGATCTAACTATTTTTAATAAACTCTCTGAATTTTTTAAAATTGCAAATTTTGAAATATATTTGTAGATATATGCGAGAAAATATGTGGTGTTGTAACACTTCTAATTACATTTGTGTTATTCATGGCGAATAATACTAATCGTACAATATTATCTATTATGTTTAAATTCAATGTGAGAAAAAAAGTTCATACTGTGCAGCATTAGAGTATCAGCTTGCGTTTAACGGAAAGCAAAAAGGTGGCTTCTGTGATTCTGCCTTTTTTGGCTGAATTGACCAACTATTAAAGAAAGAATTTCTAATTTTTTTGTCAAAAAATAATGAAAATAGATATTTCAAGAAGGTTACTATATTATGTTTAGTACAGAAGTTTTCTACACAATAACTCAAATAAGGATAAGAAAAATATAGAATGCCTTTTTAAATGCTTATTTCCCGTGCGTTTGTCATTTCTCGGGCCTACAAGAGCAAGAGAAATGATAAAAATTATCCCTGTAAAATACACTGAAATTTTTGTAAAAAATAACAGACAAACTGAGCGTTTTTTCGGCGTGAAGGAGCTGCTAGAAAAGTATCAGAACAAATTGTTTTTTCTTTGACCAATAAAATATTCGATTTCGCCCTGACATAAAGACTTCATCAGACAATTTTCCGTTATGCAGCCCCGAATAGGCGAAGGAACTTCCACTCATTTCTCAGTGTCAAGGAATCGCTACCAACACTTGATTTTCGAAGATGTCGAGAAAATAGGGTGACCAGAAAACAGGGTCCTCTTCTTTCTTTTTTGTCATGCTTTTGTCCGGGGTCCGGGCGGATTTTTCAAAAATCACGAAATCTCCTCCTTTTTGTAACTTGATCATCGGAGGGCACGATCTTTTTAAATGATTGGTTTTGACTCCCTTTTACCCTAATATGCCTGTGGGTTGTATAATAGTCTTCCTTATCTGTGTAAATCGTTAGGTTCATTCATTCCGTCCGAACTTGTTCTTAGTAATTTTGTGAACTGTTGGTGATTCTGTGGAGGAAGAGACGCGATTTTTGTTTTCCTAGTCACATATATTTGCTAAAGATATGTGGTAGTTTAAAATGCGAAAGAAGAAAATGCAAGTTTAACAATGCCCTGTCCAGCAAATATCTGGTATTCAAAATGGGAAGGAAGGAATCCGAAGCTGAATGCAAAGTTTGTATAGCTGGAACCTATGTTTCTATTGCAAATAAAGGTTTGTTAGTTGTTGCAATTTTCAGTACTTTACATCTGTCAGAATACTTCCATACATATACAATGTATCATGTTCAGACACACACTGTGTCTCATATTACATTATTATTTAAAATATTATGGACTGTCTTTTTTTACCAAATGTCCTCGTTTTCATCAATAAAGATTTGGCCACCCTATGTGAAAACTGTTCAACATTGCTTATCTTCTTTGGCAGTATCACACTTCGAGAAAGATATTAACATACTGGTTTCACAATATGAAAAATGACGTGGAACTATAGGTAATTATGTAAAAAAGTATATTTACACTGTTCTTTTTCTGGTAATGAAATTAAATTACAGAATGTCCCTGATTGTGGAGTTTAGTCAAAAAATCTATAATAAAAGATTTAAGTTTATTATCATTAACTAATTTTATTTTTGTGCATTAAAGTATCACACTTAACTATTTTCTTTTTTGGCCCACCTTGTCCAAATCTGTTGATCCGGAGCCTTCTTTGATTCAAAGATGATCATGAATCTTTCCATTAATATTATTTTCAATAAAATTTATATGTTTCCTTAATTTATGGATATGCCTCTCATTTTACCGCTCACACTGATTGTTTTGGGAAAAAGAGTCTTGCAAATAACAAAACCCAAAAAGAATGTTAACTAACAAGAATTAATTAATTAATAAGATAACCGAATAAAAAGGAAAAAAGAAAACTGATTCCTTTTGAATAGTGTATTTGGAAAACATGCCTTGCAAATAATAAAAACGAATAAATAAACAAGTAAATAAGTTAACGAAAAAGGAGAGAACTGGTTTCGTCATCTTCATTATTTGAGGTGAGCCGCAGAACTACTACGAGAATGTCCTCCGAGAAGAACTTCGTATGTTTGTACCTGTTGGTTGTAGGTACAAATTTTCTTGTTAGCTTAAGACGTGAATTTTACTTTTAAAAATATGAACTTTTTGTCCCATCCTATCGGCGTACGGGAGATTATTTTACTTGTCACAAATATGAGTTGTGGAGCAACCGGTTTACTTTCCTTCCAAAGGATTTTTTCGCCCTTAAAAGCCCATGACTTCGACCTGGTTGGAACCCGCCAACTAGAGATCAACTGTCCGATACGCGAAATCCAGCAAGATGTTGATGTTTATTTCATCCTTTCTTTCTTTCTTTCCTTGTTACCTTATTTTTTTCTTTCTTGCTCTCCCTTTCTTTCTTCTTTCGATGCAGTTGACCGTCGATGCTGGGAATTTTTGAATTATAGTCACTGTGAAGGAGTAGGTCTACATCATCATATAAAATTTACTTGTACTTACAATAAAACAATCCACTAATAACGTACGCGTTTGTATGATTGTTCTTTGCTCTCCAGATTTTGTTAAGATGATTGATCCCCTTTCCAGTCTTTAATTCTCGCTCAATTATTTGTTTACTTTCACACTTATTGTTTTGATAATCTTTCTACGACAGCATATGACGTTCAAAAAAGAAATCAAATACATAAATAAAAAGTAACAAATAAATAAATAAATAAATAAATTATGAATACAGAAAGACAGACATGATTAAACCAGTATCGTGATAACGATTGAGTTTTGGTGAGGAAGGAAAATACAACCTCAACAGCTCTAATTCTCGCGTGAACTGAAGGGTCACGTTTCTTGTGAGCCCAAGACATGAAATTTACTTTTTCAATGTTTTTGTCCCAACAAAGGAGCGTCTGCAAGGTTTTTAACCGTCTCCATTCCCCACGTAGGAGAATTGACTTTGCTTTCCTCGCTAAGAGTTTTTTCCGTTCCTGAAACTCTCCGCCGCGGACGAGGGAGAGATGGCATTACTTTCTTCCCAAAGATTTTTTTCCGCCCAGTTCTATCCGCGATCTGCATGTCGCAAATCTGCAGACATGAAAGAACCGGAATTGCTTTCCTTCCGACGGATATTTTTCCCGCCTTGAAACAGACCAATCCGCGATCTATATGTCTCAAATCTGCGGACACGGAGAACCTCCTTCCTTCCAACGGATTCTTTCCCCACCCAGAAACAGTCCTAACCGCGATTTACATCTAACTCTGCGGACGTGGAAGATGCGTCATAACTTTCCTTCCGACGGATTTTTCCCCCGCACTAAAACAGTCTGATCCGCGGACTTCACGTGGCCAACCTGCGACGTGGCAGCACCGGCGTTAACTTCCCTCGGAAGGACTTTCTCCCTCCCCGATCTCCTTACCTCCTCCTCCTTCTGCTGCAGCAGGCGGTCGGTGTCGCCGGGCGGGGCGGCGGGCTCCAGGGCGGAGTCGCGCTTCAGCTTGGAGCGCTCGCGCTCGCGCCCGCCCGCCGCCGCCGCCGCCGCCGCCAGCGACATCTGCGACAGGCACTGCGCGCGGAAGTTCTCGTAGTGCACGTCCTGCGTCACGTCCTTGAGGTCCTGCATGTGCGTGCTCACCAGCATGGTCCGCAGGCGGGCGAAGTCGCAGTGCGTCGGGTTCTCCACTGCAGCACACAATTGGCGCAAGGCATGTAGGAGCGGAAGGATTGGCGAATTTGTTTTGTTTATTGTCGACTTTTTGTCATTTTGAAGAGGAAAAGAGAACTAGAAATAGGAGAAGAGAGGACAAGACAATCTGAATGAGTTCAAAAAGAAGAAAATAAGAGAAGAGAATGAGAAGTGGGGAAAAGAAGATAAGATGATTAAAAAAGGAAAGAAGAGAAGTAATCCAAGAGGATGAGAAAAAGAAGATACGAATGTTATTAAGAGAACAAGAAGTGTAAGGGAAGATGATATAGAGATAACAAAAAGAAGTGGCGAAGAAGAAGGAAAAGAGGACAAAAGGAAAATTGGAAGACGCGATGAAGAAGAGAAATGGAAGCACAGAGAAGGGAATAGAAGAGGAAGGAGAGGAATAGATGTAAAGGAGATGGAGAGAAGGAAAGGAGAAATTGAGAAGAAGATTGTGAAGAAGAGATAGAGAATAAAAGTACATAAGGAGAATGTGTAAAAGAGAAAAATAAGGGGAAGAGAAAAGGAAGAAGATAAGAGGAAAAGAACGAGCATAAAAAAGAAATTAAGTCAAGAAGAAGATAAAAAGAAGAAAATTGGCAATAATATTATGAAGAAAAGAAAGAATAAAAAGAAAATAAATAGGACGAAATTATTTGGAGGAGAAGAGAAGGAAGAAAGAAAAGAGATGATTATGAAGAACAATCGAAAAACAAAAAGAAGCTGAAATGGAAGAAAAGAAAAGATGAAGAGAAGGAATAAGGGAAGAAGATAAGATTATGAAGAGAAGAGGAAAAATAAAAAGAAACTGAAGAGGAAGAGGAGAAGAGAAGGAAGACTGGAAAAAATATTTTAAAGAGAATATGAAGGAGAAGAAGAAGGAGGAGGAGGAGGAGGATAAGAAGAAGGAGAAGAAGAAGAAGAAGAAGAAGAAGAAGAAGAAGAAGAAGAAGAGAAGGAAGAAATGGAAGAGTAGTTGCGCTCACCCTCGACGACTCCCCAGGGGTAGCTTCGGCCCCGCACGGCGCGGCCGCCCACGTCGAGAACGGTGCTGGCGCCCACCACGGCGAAGGGCACGCACGCCTTCAGCTCGCGGTCCTGCTGCTTGAACTCCTCGTCCTCGTCCGAGTCGCACTCGGGGAACTGGTAGATCTGAGCAGCACACACACACGCACACACACCACCGTTACGTACGCATACATTTTGTATACTACATCATCGTTCAATCACGTAATAGATTCATGGATTGAGGTTTATGTAACCTGGTGGCAGAACACTACAACCATTACAGCTACTACTACAATTACAACTAACAATATTAAAATATTGATGCAAAGTAACCTTAAATGATTTTAAGATAATAATATCAATACTATTAATAATAGTAATAATAATAATAAAATAATAATAATAATAATTAAAGCAACAAATTACCTCCTATATTTTATGACTCTCGTAAGACACAGTTCAAAACTAATAAACAAATAAGTTTTTAACTTCATCAGCACCCCACAAACATCCACAACACTTTGCATTTCACTTCTCTTTCTTCTTCTCTTTGCACTACACCTTCAACAACTAATTGCCACACTTCAAGTACAAATTTTACGTTAAATACGATTATACTTGAAATTTAATATAATAATATAATAATATAATAAAATAATAACCATTTCATTAAGACTAATTTAAAAATTTACAAATAACATTAGTTAATTAACTTTCAAATCTTTGAAGATCTAGAAAAGAGGATTATTCCATTCCATTATTGTAGGGGATTAGAGTATAAAATCGGGGTAGTGCGAGATCTTAACCCCAAATTTTGAGTGCTTCCAGTAGTGCAGGTCAAGATGCTCTTTCAGATACTTTCTTCCCATTCACTCTAGTTTCATGAACGATAAATTTCATAACAGTGTTCTGGCAACAAAACAATGTGATCGTAACTTCCCTTTTCCATCTTTAGGCAACTCATCTTGTATTGCTGTTTGACAGATACACGAAATCTTTTTGACTGCGTCAGCACGTGTACCTTCCATACATCAGTGGTCAATAAGTTGCCAACCAACCAGAGACAAGTGTCACATGTGTAATTTCCTTGTATGGGTTTTCCCAACTCGTATTTATTAATGAAAAGTGATCATCTTCAACCCTTACGTGCCACAGAAGTTTGTTACGTTTATTCTGATACCGCTGTATAAAATTCATTTGTTATATGAAAGGGTCAGTGAGATATTTTAGTTCAGGCTGATATACGCGATTACCTTATTATATATAAGACCTTTACCTTACTATATATACTCAAAATGTTTAGGTGTGATCTCTTACACGTTTGACACTACGAACAATAGAATAATTATATATATAAAGTGTAGACACATTGTCAATTGTCAAACGTGTGAGAGATCACACCCAAATATTTTGAGTAATTCCAGAAATGCTCAGAACGATACTCCTCTTCATTAACAACACACTTCATAAGCGTCCTTATATCGAAATAGTTTAATCTTAGATTTCCTAATCCATCCATGCGAACCGCCGCCCGCGCTCACCTGGATCTGCGCCTCCTCCAGGTCGGAGAGCACTCGCTCCTTGAGGCGGCGCACCTCGGCGGCGGTGAGGGTGTCCGCCTTGGCGATCACCGGCACCAGGTTCACCTTGCGGTGCAGCCGCCGCATGAACTCCAGGTCGAGCTGGCGCAGGCCGTGGCCGTAGGGCGGGATGAAGTACAGACAGCAGTGCACGCGGTTGTCCTGAATGTTGCGGCGGTTCAGGCCGCTCTCGTCCGTGAAGTACTGGCGGAACTGCTCGTCCACGTAGGCGCAGCACGCCAGCCAGCTCTCTTCGCAGTTGAGCGCGTCTCCGAACCCTGCAGGAGCAATGTAATTTAAATTAAAATTTGAATTAATCGGTTTTGCTTGGATAAGGTTTAGAATATTGATCTACTGCCCCGGACATCGCGAGTTCGACCAGGGCTACACAGTTCTCGTGGTTTATGCGTGTGACCGAACCTTGCAGGTACAACATCAGTATTTAATCAATTAATTTCATTAATTAAATACGGTAAATTGAAGGTGTTGTCTGGTATTAAAAATTTATTTTACTAATGATCGTTTCGATCGCGTAGCGATCATTCTCAGAGCTGGCAGTTTACGGGCCGAAAACAACGTTCGAAACAAAAAACTTTGTTTTCGGCTCGGATGCAGTAAACTCTGAGGATGATCGCTAAGCGATCGAAACGATCATTAGTAAAATGAATTTTTAATTCCAGACAACACCTTCAATTTACCATATTTAATTATTAGAAGGTATCTACCTCACCAGCGATCTAATTAATAATTTCATTAAAATTGAAATAAATCGGCTTCGCTTTGCGAACGGTTAGTGTATTGGATGATTTCTCTCGACATCACGAATTCAACTGCAGCAATTCAGGTCTCGCAGATGAGCGTGTCACTGAAACCTGCACGGACAAGGTTGGTGTTCAGTTAATAATATTAAAACTGAGATTAATTGGATTATCTTGGTTAAATGTTAGTATGTTGCATTCTTGCTCTCGACATCGTAAGTTCGACAACATGCTAACCCCTTCACGCGGTTGAGCGTATCACCAAATCCTACAGAGACAAGATTAGCGTCCAATTAATTACATTAAAATTTGAATTAATCAGCTTCGCTTAACTGAGAGTTAGTGTATTGGACTATTGCACAGAACATAGTTATTTCAACCACAGCAACCCAGTTAAGCGTGTCACCTAATTCTGCACGGACAAGATTAGAGTTCAATTAATTTCATTAAAACTGGAATTAATTGGCTTCGCTTGGCTAACGGTTAGTATATTGGACTATTGTATTCGTAATTGGGAGGTGGACCACGGCAATTCCCGCGGTTGAGTCTCTCACCAAACTGGATAGGGAGGTTACCATACAATAAACTACATTGACGATGGCATTAAGGATAGATTGCATTAACATTGGGACATTGGACATTCGGTTGTACATTGGTTCAGGAGGTGTCAAACGGTGAGTGCGGCTTCTAAGTTCTAAAGGTATCTAACAGTTCAATACTTCAACCCGGGAGAAGCATTCCTCGACGTCAAGGTCGGCTGATCCTTAAAGGTACAGACGACCGATGAATTTAATTAAGCCTGGTATTAATTGATTTGGTTGTCTATCGTTCAGTGTATAGGACTCTCGCATTCGATGTCGTCAATTAGAGCTGAAGTTGGCATGGAGGTCATTAAGCTAAACTGGGGCAAAATTACTATTCAATAAAGATATCATTCAGAAAAATGTTGTGTAACAAATGGGATACAAGCTTTGCCTTCTCTGTATATTGAAACTGAATCCGATGCCGGTACTGTAAGATTTACATATATAAAATTTCTGTCACAATATTTGACATTTTTCATTATTTATTCTCCGATTCACATAATTGGAGTTCTTCTACACAGTGTTATCTCGGGTGTCTTGCACTCGTGGTCAGTGTTTCCACATCCTGTTTGCGCTTAGCGTTTGCTCACCCGGTCTTCGTTTAGCGTATGCTCACTCGGCCCTCGCTTAGCGCTTGCTCACCCGGTGTGTCGACGATGGTGAGGCGCAGCTTGACACCGCGTTCCTCGATGTCCATCACCTTTCGTTCAATCGACGTCGTCCGCCGCACGCGCTCTGCAAATCACCCATCAGTCACATTAGACACTTCAACTGCTTGCATTATGTAATGTATTGCTAAGCCAACACCTATATTGTCATAAATCTTAAAAAGAAGGTATATCACTTCTCTGAAAAAACAACGAAAGTCCTATTTTCGTCAGTTTTTATATTTCATAATGAATCTTATTAAATAATCTGAGGAAAGTTATTTTAAAGACATTGAAAGTCGGTCAACAACTTCTACACTTCTGCAGGGCAATATAGGAAATACTGTATTCTATAAAGTTTAAAGTGAGATTAGAAAACTCGTATTTCTAACTTATAGTTATTACTATTAATAATTTAACATCGTTCTGTAATAATAACAAAATTCTATTGTTACCAGTGTTTTATTGCAAATTTCTGATACTAATGTTAGGAAAAAATAATTCATCTTCTCTTCGGTAAAAATGTTTTAGGGCTTTTTAAAACGAGATGACATGGGTATCTAAAGTTTCAACGCAAATAATGCAAGGTCATCTCTTTCATGAGCAAGTAAATATAAAGTTAAAGAGAGTTTGAAAATAAAAATGTAATTTGTAAATCAATGTAAAAATGGTAATTTCTTGTGTTGTAGAAAATAGAAATATCTTGAAATGTATTGAAAATAGGTTGAAACAGTTCATATTGGTTTGGTGATATCTATTTTTTTCTTTTAACAAGTATTTTGTTTTGGATGAGATTTAAAGGGGTTGAGATTTCACCTTCATCATCCTCTCTGATGAACCATAACCACCTAAAATAGACAGTGGTAAACCAAACATTAAATTGCGAGAGTTTTTTAAATGTCCAACTGTGTTGGCGAAAATAAAACTTGGGAGGCAGCAATATCTAGTACGCCCATAAAAAGATAAGATAAGGTAATAGAAAATCCAAAATTATTATTTGTGGAAAACCTGAATGTAAAGAAAAAGAGGAGTTAGAGATTTTGATGATAGCGAATAGATATAATGATAGCGTCAGTGAAAAGTGAAGTGGAATTGGTACCAGCAAGGATTGTGGCAATAGTAACAGTAGTACAAAGCGTAGTAATAGTGGTATTTGTGGGGTGAAGTGGAAATGGTAATAGAAATTAATAGAAAATAATAGAAGTCTTAGTGGAGTTGATAGTGATAGTAGTGGTGGAGGTTGTAGGGCGAGTGAGTGGTAGTGGGCTGTCTATTTCAGTGGTTACGACGTATGAGGGAGGATGACAAAGGTAAAATCTCAACCCCCTTAAATCTCATCCCAAAACAAAATACTCGTTTAAAGAAGAAAAAATACGAGTACCCAGTGTGGTAGAGTTGGCTACTCACCAGCCACATCCGGCACGCGGCGGTCGCGGTACAGGTCCGAGAGGAAGAGCGCGTTGACGAGCGTGCTCTTGCCCAGGCCGGACTCCCCGACCACCATCAGCGTGAAGTCGAAGCCCCGTTTCACGCTCTTGCGGTGCACCTGCTCCGGCAGCGTCGCGAAGCCGATGTACGCGCGGTCTGGCTGGGGGCAAGCGAACAAGTTGGCAGACGTCGATGCAGCCGAAGCACACCCTGTATTAACCCGTGCGCCTCCGCGCGTAATTAGACGTCGGATTTATAGTCATGTCATCCGTTTAAGTAAAATCATACTTTAATTGCAACTCTTCTGTCTGGTATATTTTTAAGTTTAGTATAACAGACGATACCAATATATTCAGTGCGTCTTCCTCAACTGATGCGGAGATCAGCTATAGTAATCCGAAATCTTCAAATCCCAATACATTTTTACTTAAACGCTTGAAATTCAGATGGAACACGTTTCGTGACTTTGCGGTTCCATGGTACAACATTTATAGTATTTGAAATGCCTATTTTGCAATTAACATCTATTCACCAATTAAATGTCTACTTGTAACGTACATTCGAATTGCATAGCGTAAATTCGTCTATCCGTGTATAAATGCCGATTCATCCTACTCTAAAAGACGGAATATTTCCGTGCGATGTATTTGAAACCGAGTAAAATAAACTCGCAAGCATTCCTAGAAAGAAATGTATAACGAAGCTAAAATCCGAATGAAACAAAGATTCAAGCGTTTAAGTAAAAATGTATGAGGATTTGAAGATTCCGTATTACCATAGCTTATCTCTGCATCAGTTGAGGAAGAGGCACTGAATATATTGGCATCGTGTGTTATTCTAAATTTAAAAATATACCAGGCAGAAGAGTGTCAATCAAAGTATCATTTTATGCGAATAAAACAAAAGCAACAAAATTAATAAATGTTTTCGCATTATCATTTCATTTACATATTTCTTTTAATAGGAAACATTTGAGTTTTTAATGAAACAGTTTAAAGTAAAATACATATTTTGTAAAAATGTTGTAAATCTTGACAATTTTATATTGCTTACTTCGAGAAATTAAACGGCATGTTTCCGCCTTTTAAAAGTCTATTTTAACCACTTAAAGATCTTATTTCAATGATTATACAATCAACATCAATCTTTGTAGTAGAAACTGCTCTCAAATCAGTCCGAATCGTCATCAGATCATGGTAATTTTATACTTGCAATATAAAATTATGTCTTAGCCCAAGAACTACTTTTCTTCAAATTTATCTCATTTTTCGTAAGTTTCTCAGACAACCATTCATCACATATGAAGTGGAATAGACATTATTTTAACACATACTGACAATTCCCTCAAAAAATGTTTCGGAGAGGCGAAACTGCGATTGCTCACTGAAAACACTTCATACGATATCTCATGGTTGTTAGTCATTCGAAACTACGGTCAAAGTTCTTCGAGACTATGTAATTAAACTTCTTACACTATTCTGGCAAAAATATCATACATAGTCCTTCCCCATTAAATTATAAAAGCTGATCTATTGATGTAATTTCATAGCTAACGCGAAAGAATCATACAACCTCGAATGTGACGATCTCCTCAAGAACTCTTGCTAAATAAAATGTGTCATTTTAAAAACTTGTAAAAATATGCAAACTATTCGAATTTCTTAAAATAGATTTTGTACAAATGTAATGCATTAAAACTTTGAAGTAGCTCTGTACAAAACAATTCAGATTTAAATAGTGGTCTTATAAAATATTTGTCATACAAAACTTCCTAAAAACTGTGAAGGGCTTTGACAAGGCTTATATGTCGACTTTTACAGAAGAATGATCCGTGTCCGCCCCCATCTTTGACAAAACCCAGGGAGGAAGAAAATGGTCACATGTAAATTAACATATATTGCAATAAAATAATATTTATATTACAAACAGAATTACACCCCCACGCCGTCTTCCGGCTCCGTGGGCACTGCTACAACCTGGTTGTTATCGTGCTGCATTCGCCCCCTCGCTGTCGTCTCGTAGCTCAACGTTAATTTCGTTCCGTCTACATCCCACGCCGCTCGCTCGTCCTCTCCTCTTCGACCCCTCCCCGCAACACACACCAATGCCCAGCAACAATAACACCCAGGTAGATTGTAAATTGTATTGAACTGAATTGTCATCTTGTGCTGTAGCGTCATCTAGAGAGTTACAACAAAGTCGACAGCATAAAAACCTTCTCCAAGAAGAAAAGATTGAGATATGTAAAGTTTCATGGAAATCGGTCGAACGGTGTCGGAGTTCATCGATCTCGGACAAACCAACATTCATTTTTATATGTATGAGTTAATAATAATAATAATAATAATAATAATAATAATAATAATAATAAGAAGAAGAAGAAGAAGAAGAAGAAGAAGAAGAAGAAGAACAACAACAACAACAACAATAACCGCAACAATGCGCACGGCTTACTTGTTTCCGCGTCGAACGACATATCTCCCTGAAGGTGAGGCGAGCCGAGAATTCCCTGAGGTACTGAGCGCCGCCTGAGCGTTGGGGCCGTGGGAATGGAGTTGGCGGTCCAAAAAGCGCAACAGGCTCCACGAGGTGCCGTGCCTTCGCCCCCCTCCCCCACAGCCCCTCGCCCACGCACATCGCTGCGCCCGCGCAAGTGGCGACTTCCGGCCCCCGCCCTCCTCCCTCGCTCATTCAGTGAGGTGCGCTGCTGACCTGCGTGCGGCAACAGGGCGGTACGAGGAGTACGAGATGTAGCGATGATACACGATAGCGAGTGAGACATTAAGTGGGTGGGCGTGTGGAATGCCCTTTCTCGATATCGCTCGAAGTGTTGTCGAAGCTTTTCCACATAATAATATAAATGACACAAGATCGATTGTCTTTCTCCTCATAGCAATAGAATGTTGTGCTTTGAGGTCTAAGATAGTGAGTGGTGCGAATGTTCGTGTCTACACTGTCTATTCCGTTAGAGTTCATAAATTGCAAAAGATTCTAATTTTTTGGACCCCCTCGTACAACCACATTTTTGGAGACATATATTTTTCTTCGAATAAAATTCATTGTTCTGCACACTTTTACCTTTAATTAATCATGGACACTTTTTGAAAATATTAGTAGGTTTTGCGTAATTGTAAGTTAAATATGGAAAATATTGAGAACAAGATTTTCTCAAAAAAGTCTGTAAATATTTTCTTTAAACTTGTTTATTATTTATTCAATAAAGTCTAATAATTTTTACATCTTATAATAATAATAATAATAATAATAATAATAATAATAATAATAATAATAATAATAATAAAGTTTCAGTAAAATATTTGCTTTTATCGTGACTTCCCGATAATAGTTTCAATTATAATTCGTTTTTTTTTTTTTGCTTTTATTTTTCCAACTTATGAGGTTTTTAGAGAAAGGTGAAATGGTTAATGATGATAAATGTTATTAAATGAGTAAGTTAAAGTGATGTAACGCACGTAATCCGACGGAGGACTTGGAAGGGTAAGCCTGTCTGAAAATCCCCTTCCCTTCTAATGTATCGGCACTCATTTTATTTTCACTCACGAAACACTGATTAGTTCCAAATGCATCACATAGTAACAGTTACTTGAAATACTAGTTTGGTTAATATTAGATTGATTAATTAAGACATTGGTTTTAATCGGCTTCCAAATCAAAAGATTTGTTTACTGTTGCTAACTTTTTTTGACCATCCATCAATCTATCAGTCCGCTTTTAATTATTAGTGTGCTTTCTTGACTTTTTCTTTCATTTCGATAGTTTTTATGCTTATCTCGGTGTTAGTTCATTGCATCTCCTTTTCCACGTTGTTCAACGTTCTTCGTGTTTGTCCAATTTAGAACTGTACATCCTCATGTGCTCCCAAGACGCGCAGCTGCTCACTGGACATCTACACTTAACACAACATTTCACGGCGTCTTGTTTTCAGGTTTATATTGTTTAATGCTACTTATGGAGGTTATTTCAGAAGACCTCCCACTTACTGTGGGATGCCGTATCGATGAACATGTTTTTGTAAATATAATTGTTTTAACATCGATTTTTTAATACCAGTGTTTTTTTAACATGGATGATTTGAGTTCTGTTCACACGAAGTTTATATTTTGTTTGGCAGAGAAAAGTAACATAACTCAAAACTGTCACAATTTTCACATATCAGTAAACTGAACATTCTTTTAGATCGAAACAGTCAAGGATGAAGGGTATGAAAATAAGATAATTCTACCAACCAGAGCCCTTAAAATTGATAGTTTCATTACTTCATTTTTCCGCGTCGTCTGCTGAGGTCTTTAGTCCCGTAAGTTTAGTTTGATTTTTACACGGGAGGTGGCGGTGTTTTTCTCCCGCTACTTGGCAAGATCCGTCGCCAACCTACCCATCGAATTGCAGTGTTTTCGCTGGCCAGGTATCTCCTTCCAGCTGGCACCTACTCACACGGCACAATTTCTACGATCCCGATTGGTCTCCCGACATATGTAGTAGTATAGTGCATGTAAGTGTAAGTGTGTGTAAGTAAGGCGTGAGTATAGAAAAAGAAGAGGAAGGATAGATCGTTCGTGGTCTGTGGGAGTTACCCGTTTTTAAGGTACTTTTCCGGCATTTACCTTGGTATTGATCGGAGAAACCATGGTAACTAGGATCAGCTCAGCCAACCGCTAGAATTTTACTCCAGACCGTGACTAAATTCGACCTAGCTTTCTAGCTAGAGCCGAAAAGATTAGAACTCTATGGCTTCCCGGTCAGAAGAACTACGGTGATACTTGGTGCACTGAGCTACCTCAGCCGGATTGTAATTGACGTAGTAACAGGAGTATATTGTCTATTTTCGTACTGAACGGTGACGTATCTTGGTTTGGAGTTGATAGATGAGTAATATTCATGGTCGTGTACATTAATCTCCATCCACGCAAATAATTTTCATTAAGTTAAAAATTTTCCATCAAGACCTTCTTTCATAGATTGAGAAAAAAATGTCACGCCAATGGCTTGAAAAATAGAAAATTTCCGTATCTTGTTTCAGTATTTCCTCTGATGTCCATTTTATGGCATCAACTGTAAGGGCATACGCTTTTGCAAAGATATTTTTGCTCCTGTACAACTGCTATTATGAGCTTACGTGCATTCTCGCGGAAGTTCCTAAACACACCAGACTGCGGCCGGCCGACCGAAAGTTGACTGCCCTACGCCACTGGGACATGCAACGTGTTACCTAAAAAAAGGCCGTCCGCCGCCGTCGAAACCCCCTGCAGAGGTCCTTGACTTTGGAGGCCTGCGGGACCGATAAGATAGACTGTGTCTGCCTGTTCCACCAGCCGGGCTATGCACCAGCAGACCCCGCTGTGGCGGCCTGTGTACGACACGCCCCTCCTCGCTCCACCACTCATGTTTCGTTCACAACGAAAATGTTGACAAATTGACATTTGTGATTTTAACATAAGCATAATATTATCAGAAATGACCGCCCCCCCCCTTAGGTGACCGCGCAGAGGGATCATGGCGCCTCTGAAAATTTCGAAAAGTGTCCCGTACCCCTACGTAATAAAACATTTTATTTCCGTAAATACGATAAATTTCAATTTTTTGTGTTTTCTAAGCTGCTTCTTTGAGAAGTTGATACTCAGTATTTTAGAGAGAAACACTTCAAGCCATTTGGCAATGTTGTAAATGGTTCACAATAATTGTAAATTTGATAATTGAATTATCAAATTTTCAGTTTTATTCTTTCAGCAGCATGAATTATTTATTTAGTAAAAACATGTCATTTATAAATTTGTAAAAATGAATAGAAAGAGAGGCTCAGAAATGTAAGGTCGCACACTCTCGTTTTTTAGACTACGCACATCTATGACCGCCCGATTTGAACATCTTGCAAATGTTTCTTATTTAATCTAACTACGCCACTACCAATAAACTAATATGTTGAAATTTGATGGTGATGGTGGTGGTGGTGGTGGTGGTAATAAGGAATGCAAAACAGTACGTCGTTAACTGTTTATTGTCACTCTGTTATTACTGCGTACCCTCTTGCGTATCTTCATTCGGTAATCTTCATTAAAGGAGATGGCTCTTAAAGGCGACACGCAATAACGTATGATAAATGTACGAACAGAATTAGATGCTTTAAAGGGTATTAGACACACAACACAAACACGAATAAAATATACCACGAAGGTTTACCAATGTTTCGTAACTAAGTTTCCTGTAAATGACCTGCCAGAATTAACAAAGTAGTTACAGTGCATGATATACAATTTCATATTCCGAAGAACAGCGCTTTCTTCGCTACGACTCCCACTTTGTCCGCAGTTAAGTGCTTAACGTCTCCGCAGCGTCTGCGTAAACTGAGCTAAGCTCCCATAAAAGAAGTTATGAATTTAAGCACATTACGCAGCCAAACTGGCTCCTCTCCCTCCGCCTCGTTGGGGCGTAATCACGCTTGGCATTTGCTCCGCAGGAAGCCCACGCCTGCCAACTCAATGATGCTGCGAGAGACCTCGGTGAGAGAGTGAGGGTGTTGACGGAACAATAACGTGCGGGTGGGGAGATTTAGAATCTAAGTTTGAAGGGGACGATTCGCTTGTGTGTGTGTGTGAGTGTGCTTTTATCCAACCGACAGCCAGTTATCCTTTACGTTCCGATGGGACGCACATTCGACCACACACACTATACTTCGGTTTTATTTAAAGTGGCCGATGACATTAGGTTATTGTTACACATCCTGCGTTATAAAATGAATCTTTTTAACAGTGATAAGCTCATTTTGAGGCTACGAGGCGCGTGCCTCGTTGAGAAGGACGTTCGCGAAATAATTAAAAATATTAATTTTCTAAGGCAGGATGTATAACAATAACACAATGTCTAACACATTTCTAACTATAGTCTTAAAGAAGTATAGACGAAGTTACATTTAAGGGCTCCTCTGATCTGGGGGCGGCAGAACGCGAGGCTGTCCGCGACTATATATAACGAAACAAATATCCTAAGATATCTTATCCTAAAAGAGAATGTAGAATTAACAAACCAGGCCAGTGGCTCGAGTTTTATCCACTTTGTTATTTTTCTAACGTACAATTTTGAATTTTCGTTCAAACTTGACTATTTGTTTTAAGAAAGTTGACTGACAGTTACTGATAGTAGTTACCTGATTAGCATTATTTAACAGGTTAATAGCTTAATAGCTAATTATAGTTATTTTACTACCTCAGTGATAGAGTTAGTGTTGAAGGAACAATAGTGTGTGGATGGGGTTATTTAGACTCTAATTTTGACGATTTGCTTATAGTCATTTACGAAAAAATATCCTAAAACATTGCAACACGACAATGTAGAATTACCAAACTAGACCGTTGTTGATTGGACGGCACGAAATGGAACAATGCTTTATCCATTTTATAACATTTTCAATGAACGCTAATTATCATTTAAAATGACTATTCATTCTTCTAAAGATGATAGGCTAATGTTAATATGATTTAATAGGAGACCATGAATTTTTAAAACGCATGTTTTAATATTAATACGAAACTCATCAAAACAAATCGTTTTTTATAAAAATTGTTAACACTATATTCATTAATTAATGAATGCACCTAAGTTAATACATAAACATCAATTACTATATTTGAAAACATAATACTACCATCTTTAACATTTACCTACCCAATTTGGGGAGGTGCAATACCTGCTTATCTTACAAAATTAAAAAGTATGCAAATTAAAGTCTTATAGTCGACAATATAAGTCCTGTGGTGTATCTTCAATAGACAAAAAGAATTGTTAGTACATCCATTATGAACCTCGATTAATAAACTGTTGTCTTGTTTCTATTTTACGCTATTTTTTTGTCCAGCAACTAATACTTTTTCATTAGGAAAAACAATCTATCCAAATTCTAGAATCGAATCAAAATGTTCAAAGCACTTATTCCATAATTTGTAAATTCCGTTAATTGTTTAAAAAGTACTCTCTTTTATCTCCAAATGTTATAAATTGCAGTTGTATTTATTTATTTACAAATAACTTTTTAGTAAAATTTAGAGGCCCCTACATAGAGTTCCCTTAAAAATTATTACCTATTAATAGCTCCGTTAAATATTATCTTAGTTTTTAAAATTGATATGTGAATGTTATATGTATTATATTGAAAACCTTCAAAAGACTGACAAATCAAACAAGTACATTTTTTTAAAACTACGAACGTGATCTGTTTCGTTACGTGATCTGTTACGTATTGTATCACCTGAAGTTCAAATATAAACTAAATGTAATTCGCTCATTTAGGAAAGTATTCTCGTTTTCAGACGTTGAGATGAAAATAATGATATCTGGTATTTCAAGTAATAGAGTGGAATAATTATATGCATCGTCATTGCCAACAATATCATTTATTAAAAAAACAGCTTTCGATGGCTTAGCCATCATCATCAGTTTCTGCTGTATGGAAGCCACAAACGTCGTCGTTTTTGTTCGATGAATCTAGGAATATATGGACCCACGAATGGGATAATTGTAATTGTCTTACCGTTCGCTGAGTTAAGTCGAAGAACTATGAAACAATAACGTTCATATTCGTTTTAAAACATTTTACCACCAAATTTATATTAAGCATTATTTTCAATAACCAAAATATAATAAACATACTTCTGGATTTTTTCATTTTCTCTTCCCATTGTCAACATTATTTCGAACAACATCAACTGCAACGCAAATGTTATTTTCTCCGCTGCTAGAAATGTTTTGTCGGCATTTCATTAAGAGAACGATGTTGCCACTTGTACAACTAGATAAGTTTACTGGTGGTCAGACATGCCGCTGACCTCTTACATGTCGATAACCTTCACCAAGAGTAGTACAATGATCATCGCAACCTCGATTCCTATCCTTTGCGAAAGCGGAGCATCGACAGAGAATCTAGCATTAGACACCTAAGATCATGAATCTCAACCCCGTTTATAAATGTGTTTCTATCTTGTTCTAAGCGTATTGTATATATTATTATCCATTATAAATATAAAAGTAATAATAGTCCCAAAATTGCATATTTATTGGTTCATGTCATTTGCTAAATTGATAACCTTAATAGGGTATAACAGTAGCCCAAACGTCATCAACAGTAAGTTGCTAATTGATATAAGTTAATGTTATTTTTATTATAATTATTGTTTTTGTTGTTAATTATAAAAAACTGAAGCGTGTAGTCACCGACTCAGCTAGACAAATCAACATCGACAATATACATATGCATATGAATCGCTTGTTTAGGTCTCCAATATTTATTAATGAAATTACTCATCGACTATTCACCTCTAATTTTCGCCACCTCTAATTATTGCTTTTTTCTCGAACAAAAAGGGATATTTACGCCATGATCCATCATATGTCAATTACAAAATCATATTTTCTGCACTTGGGCAATTTAATAAAAATATATTCTTTCTTTTAACCTTAAAATTTTCAGTAAGATTTCTTTCCACTTGAAAAGTTGTAACGATATTATCTAGAAATACATTCTGGGATAAAATTACAGAAAAGTATTCGAACCTTGGCATGCTAGCAGGTAAACTACGAAGTTTATTCCTTTTTACTCGCATTTAATTATTCGAACTTCCTAATTACTCGTCTTTAATTCCTTAAATACCATTAAAAAGCGCTACCCGAGGAAGATATGTAGCAGATACATACGTGTAATCAATGGAAGTAATATCAATCAGTAGGTTTGATCATTAGCCTCAATCAACAAAATATGCATCTTTCGGTTATTATAAAAGAAAAAAACATATTTTCGATGCCCACGAATTCCATCTCATAATATTTCTATTGTATGCGTTCGTTCCTACCATGAAACTGCTACTAGCATCACTGTGGGCCTGGTCTGTAGAATTTAGATGTACGAAAAAAAGACTTCATTAAATGAATTAGAATAGTTCCATTAAATTCAATACACATTATTATTATTCTCTCATTTTTTAAATGATTTTAAACGAATTAAGTTACACGTTTTTCCTGCTCAAAAGAAAAATCTAGTAGTCGCCACATTTATTGTAGTCATAATAATTAAAACAAAACTTTTCATTTCGATGATGGAAGGTCAAATTTACCGATGTTACAATACATTGTAAGGCTGAAATCGTTTTTAGGTTCGCATTGCGAAAAAATATTTCGGTAAATTGATCCTACGGTTTTTCTTCACGGATACATCGTATAGTGAATAGTTAACCCATGTTGCATTTCATGCAAATGTGGGTCATTTTGTTGAGGAACTCTTCTTTGTTGCACAGCAGTTTCTCCAATATTTTGTCAGGCAAAGGTGACTCAGAACACTAATTGATGTCACAGCAGTGCCTCTAGACTCGACGACAAAGAATTTCGACACTACTTCAACTAGGTAATATCAGCTGCTGTTTGGGGGGGTTGGCTGGTTGACTTTGCTCTGATTAACAGCAGACAAATGCCGAACTAGTACTCTAACAAAAGGGTCACGAACCGCGCGCGATCTTTTCTTCCTCTTCCTTGCCCTCTTCTCCGCCCTTACACTTACATTTACATGCATTACACTACCGCGCGGGCCGGGATACCGGACGGGAACGTACAGCTTATCCTTGCTGGGGCGATACTCCCTAAAGCGGTCGCCTAGTGCGGTAGGAGGTACCTGGAAGGGGAAATCCTAGGAATCCAACGTATAGGCATGCGCTGGAACTCACCATCCAGCAGGGAAGAACACCGGTATCTCCCGTGATGAACCAAGAAATGCCCTCATGGGAGTAATGACCATAGCATTTGACGCGCCCGAAAACTCGAAATAGTCAATCAAACAATCAATCTCCTCAAACCGAAGTTCAGGTGCTGTAATGAGGCACGGTTCGGTGCACTCTAATAACCTTCTGTGTCTATCTCGAGTATCAGGAAAAAAAATTGTATGAAATTATGTCCGTATTAAATTCAGACTGCGACGGAATGTACCCGATATTCAGATATATATATATATATATATATATATATATATATATATATATATATATATATATATATATATATATATATATGTATATATGTATATATATGTATATATATAATTGAAAGGCTGTGAAAGCCTACCTCTTAATTACATTTGAATATTATTCCCCCTTCTTCAACTAGCTGTCTACCTGATAAAAAATAAGAATTTCGAGTCTATTTTGTTTTCCCATGTACATTTAATTTCTTTATGCTTTTAGATATCAAATCATTGTGTGTTCTATATGTTTTCTAATTGTTTATAAACAATTGGCAAAATGTAGGTTTTTACTTCAAAAATCATAACTCCACAACAAATTGACATATTTTAATAATTATTTTTCTTAAATAATCACAATTAAATATTCTAATGAATAAAATAGAATGTGAAAACTAAAGAGTGAGGATTTGATTATTTTAGAAAAAAATAATTGATTATAAATATATTCTGGACATTTCAGTTCATAAAACTGAAACTTTTAATGACAGATTAACTGTTCTAGTTCGTTCACTGGAGCAAATCGTGGCTTACAAGCTGAAAAATAATAACATTATTATCTTTAATAGTTTTTACTATGATTAATATGCACGAATGTGCTAAAACTTCCCAGTTCGGGAAAATGCACATGAATTTCACTCACTAAGGGGTTGGCAGTTGACATTCGCTACGAAAAAAATATTTTCTCAGCAACTAAGAAACGTAGGAATTAACTGTTTGAAGCATTTAAAACAGAATAAAATAGAGAATACTACCCAATAAAAACTGATCAACACGAAATTTCATAATTTTTCTTCATTCTAAGGGCCTCTGGGCCTTCAATCTTCAATATAAGAGAAGAAAATGTCTGGCTGATTGATTGACATTAACGAAGTGCATGTAAATAAAATGACGTTCTTTTGTTTTACACTATAGATAGAATTAATTCGTTTTCGTGGCTGATATGACTGTGATATAAACTCGAGCAACGCCGACTTAATTTAGACGATTTCCGTACGAACTCTGAACAAAACATACGAATTCCCAAAAGACGTCCGGGACCTTCGGCCACCAAGAAGGGCGGAGGGGCCAGTGGGTCACAGGCCACTGAGCGCGTTGCGGCGGATGACGCGGCAATTGAAGCGCTCGCCCCACTCGCCCGCGGGCGTCTCCCCCGCCCGCCCGCCCGCCCGCCCGCCCCGCCCCACCCCGGGTAAGCAGCGCCCCTGCCCGCCGGACGGTCAGCGCCCACAGAGCGGAGGTCGCGGAAAGAGGACCAGATCAGAGACGGCCCCTGAATCCGGAACTCAGTGATTTCACACAAGGTTCGTAGATACTAGATATCGCAATGATTTATCGTATCTTTTTAATACTGACCATTTTCTTTCAATACACTCATTCATTACCAACATGGAGTTC